TTCAGCCCCTCCCTCCTTTCTTGTTCTCTTCTTCGGTCCTCTTGTTGTTCTCCCATCACCGACCACCCTGTACTTACATATGGATACCTTGGCTTGGTAGCTGGGAGTGGTTTAGTTCTGGCATCCAGGCTTTGTTTATTCAGTTCAGCTGATAGTCTGGTTGCCACAGAGGGCCCTGACCCGGGGTTTGTGGAACTCTCTTCTCCCTCTTCGGTTTCTTCCAGGGTGCCCCTAATGATTATTGTTTTTACTTTTGGTTCTGGTTCGAAGCCAACCTGTCTCAGAGGGAATGCACCTCCCTTGTAGCCGGAACAATCATCATATGGGGGAGGTGGTGGTGCTGTTGGGAGGGCGGGATATTCTTTTTAATAGGGCTTCTTTTCAGATTTTTATTCTGGCGTCTCATTTTTTTTTCTTCCATTTTGACTACAGTCTGTAGATAGTTTATCCTGGATCGTGCCCAAAACACGGTTCCCTCTGACCGGAGTAGTTGGAAGACAGTTACAGATACCAGTGTGGCTTTTCTCTCTGCCTTTTTCTTGTCTTGTTTTCTCCACTATATCATGGACGATGTTAAATCGATTCTTGTCAAAAGACCCATCTTTGGGGAACCAAAATTCCCTGTGACTAATTGTCCATTCATGCCATTTCTTAAACACCCATACAAGATATTTTTGGAGTGCTGGGTATTGTTGGGCTAGGTATTCAACAGGAGTAACAGGCTTCATTGGTGTGGGTCCCGAGGGCTTGTGAGAAGGAACTGTTGAGTTGTCTGCCATGATTGCTAGTTTTTATTGGGGTCATCCTATGTGTAATGTGGGCTAAAATGCAAATGTATTTCCTATATCAGTGGGTGCCTAACGCTATCTACCTACTACTACCTCTATTAATAGTTTGAGGTAAGAAAACAGTGAGGTGGAAATACAGTGTATACACCAATATAATGCTTTATGTTTTATGTCTCACCATCCCCATACAAACATGGTGGTAAATTACTTTAAACTGAATGCAGTCTAAGCGAACAGATAATTTAACAGTATTACAGCCGTTAGCCAGCCAGGCTAAGGTAAAAGGCTCAACAAACACAGGGACGAGGGAAGTAATAGGTTTAGTCTGAATTATTATTCTAACATCAGGCAAATTCTCATTTGGAAATGGCCCTAAGACAGTTTCAAGAGGTGGAACCTCAATACAGACAAGGACAACCTATATCTAAAGTCGTTAGTTTCTATAACATTTTTAGCATATAAACCTGGTGTCCGTTGTTACAAAACATCCACTCCACAAATGAAAACGCCCTTTCTTCAAACAGGTGTCTAGATAATCCAGCCATTAATCAACAGTCATAGTGATAGATAACACAACACATTCAATAATTATCACACAGGGACAAACGTCTCGTTTACCGTCCCACAATCAATAACCAGGACAAACTTCTCGTTTACCGTCCCACAATCAATAACCAGGACAAACTTCTCGTTTACCGTCCCACAATCAATAACCAGGACAAACTTCTCGTTTACAATCCTATCACTCCGGAGTACACAATTACAGGCCTTTAATCATATAACCATTGGCTTTATACTTTGATTTTCCCCAAATCCTATCACCAAGTCAACATATACATATTCACACCTATGAATTTCTAACTATCACCTAGGTGGTCTGTGTCAGTTTCCAACAGGTTTGTCCATTAATAATTCAGTAAAAAAATCTATATATACCACAATGTAGGTTTCGTCTCTTAAATGAACAGCATACTGTGAGTGAGGCGCCACTTACGTGTCAGAATGAGTCATCAACCACACAGTGCTTTGTTCAAATTACAGACTTTAGATATATCAGGTCGACGCTCACTCCAACGGCGGGTGGTCACTCACTCCTGGCAAGCTCGCCAAAATGTTGATGGTTCTTTGCACAGTGCTGGTTTGTTGTTATTAAAATAGACTATAGATCAGAAAATGACACAGACAACGAATTCCAAATATATGAAAAAACCTTTAGTAATGCAATTGCAGACAGGAGTTAATACAGAGACAACAGCAAAATGTAGCTCTTCAAAAGTTCTGAAAAGTGTCTAAAACAATCTCTGCTTTTTATACTAGCAATCCCTTCACATAGCGTGAGGTTTACCCCTGACCCTGAACTTGCCCTAGCAACCACAAAGTATTCTTCCTAATCCTGTTTTCCCACAAACTCAGTATCAGGGGGTGAGGTGTCAGACAATAAAACGAGACGTCTAAAGACAATGTGGCAATAGTGGTTGCAGGTTTCTGAGAACTTTCCGCTGTCAAGGCCTCCATAGTTTTTAATAATGTAAGCAAATGCACATAATAGATCATATATTCCACATCATTCTACCCTTATGCTATAGTAACTGCCCAGACACACCTACTCATTCAAGGGTTTTTCTTTATTTTTACTATTTTCTACATTGTAGAATAATAGTGAAGACATCAAAACTATGAAATAACACATGTAGCATGTTAAAAAAATCAAAATATATTTTAGATTTTAGATTCTTCAAAGTAGCCACCCTTTGCCTTGATGACAACTTTGCACACTCTTGGCATTCTCTCAACCAGCTTCACCTGGAATGCTTTTCCAACAGTCTTGAAGGAGTTCCCACATATGCTGAGCACTTGTTGGCTGCTTTTCCTTCACTCTGCGGTCCAACTCATCCCAAACCATCTCAATTGGGTTGAGGTCGGGTGATTGTGGGGGCCAGGTCATCTGATGCAGCACTCCATCACTCTCCTTCTTGGTAAAATAGCCCTTACACAGCCTGCAGGTGTGTTGGGTCATTGTCCTGTTAAAAAACAAATGATAGTCCCACTAAGTGCAAACGAGATGGGATGGTGTATCGCTGCAGAATGCTGTGGTAGCCATGCTGGTTAAGTGTGCCTTGAATTCTAAATAAATCACTGACAGTGTCACCAGCAAAGCACCCCCACACCATCACACCTCCTCCTCTATGCTTCACGGTGGGAACCACACATGCAGAGATCATCTGTTCACCTACTCTGCGTCTCACAAAGACACGGCGGTTGGAACCAGAAATCTCAAATTTGGACTCATCAGACCAAAGGACCGATTTCCACCGGTCTAATGTCCATTGCTCGTGTTTCTTCGCCCAAGCAAGTCTCTTCTTATTATTGGTGTGCTTTAGTAGTGGTTTCTTTGCAGCAATTCGACCATGAAGCTCAGTTGGTAGAGCATGGTGCTTGCAATGCCAGGGTTGTGGGTTCGTTTCCCACAGGGGCCAGTATGAAAAATGTATGCACTCACTAACTGTAAGTCGCTCTGGATAAGAGTGTCTGTTAAAATGACTAAAAAAGCAAAAATGTAAATGAAGGCCTGATTCACGCAGTCTCCTCTGAACAGTTGATGTTGAGATGTGTCTGTTACTTGAACTCTGTGAAGCATTTATTTGGGCTGCAATCTGAGGTGCACTTAACTCTAATGAACTTATCCTCTGCAGCAGAGGTAACTCTGGGTATTCCTTTCCTGTGGCGGTCCTCATGTGAGCCAGTTTCAACATAGCGCTTGATGGTTTTTGCGACTGCACTTGAAGAAACTTTAAAAGTTCTTGAAATTTTCCGGATTGATTGACCTTCAAGTCTTAAAGTAATGATGGACTGTCGTTTCCCTTTGCTTATTTGAGCTGTCCTACCTTGACACAACACAACTGATTGGCCCAAACGCATTAAGAAGGAACACCTGCCATAATATGTACTTGGTCTTTTACCAAATAGGGCTATCTTCTGTATACCACCCTACCTTGTCACAACACAACTGATTGGCTCAAATGCATCAAGAAGGAAATAAATTCCACAAATTAACAAGACACACCTGTTAATTGAAATGCATACCAGGTGACAACAAATATTATTCTACAATGTAGAAAATAGTAAAAATAAAGAAAATGAGTAGGTGTCCAAACTTTTGACTGGTACTGTAGATGCAGCAATATCAATAGCATCTGGAGAAAAAAAACCCCATAGATTATCATAATTTCTTCAGTTTGAAATGTGTACAGTTGCAGAGTTCTTTACAGTGGAGTATGGCTGAATTCACAGTTGTGTGTAATGACTATTTCTCTCCCTCACAGGCCATCAGCCCGGGATTTGTTGAAATTTCTACCAGAGTACTGACTTACTCCTTTCAGCTCCTAGTGGAGCAAAGGGCCTTAACTCTTATTCTGGGTGGTTTTCTTGACTTCATTTCAGGTGGTTCCTGCCTTCATCATCCATGTCTTCTTTTGGCAGCCAAACTTCCGACCAAAAATAGTAGTGCATAGAAAAATAAACAAGCATCTATGTCCTTCATTAGTTGGTCTTTTCTAGTATGTTATGAATTTACAAATGTTTTACATCAGGAAATTGTCAAATATCTGTTCAGTAGTTGGTTGACTTGCACTGTCCTCCAGTGGTTAGTATGTTCTACATGTTCAGGTATGATTCTTTGATGAACGACAGTTAAAGTAAAACACAAAAAAAGCATTGTTGGTATTTCTTTAATAAACATTAGACCCCCCTCCCCCCCCAAAAAAGAAAAAACATTTTAGTACAAAAAGTCTTTTTTGAAGTTGGGTTACATGTCTCCTTTTGTTTTACAATGGCTATTGGCAGAGGGCTTGTGGAAATTAAAGTGAACACAGCCTTCCTCCATCAAGTAATTCAGTAGCTATCAGTTTTACTGCAGTCACCCAAGTGCTACCCGTCTTTCGGGAGCCAAGTCCTCTTCATCAAAAACAAACCCCATCTTCAAGTCAGGAGCCCTCCTGGTTTCAACATATGCTTGGCAAAAAAAAAAATAAGTACATTGGTAATTTTATAATTGTGCAGATATAGCACTTCATTACTACTTTAGTCAGTAGTGCAAAACATACTAGTCTGCTCGGGAGCAATTAAAGGTACATATTTAAAACGCATACCTAGCCTGGTAAATGTACACTCAAAAAAGGTAAAAGCTTAATTTAAAAGACAGTAGTAGAATACATAAAAAACAAAAACGATATGAAACGGTATGAGCAAAAAAAGCCCCCTCTATACAACCCCCCCCCCCCCTTCTGCAACGTACCCCACATTCCAGATACAGGAGGAATACAATGCTTTACACAGATTTCTTATATATATTTTTATTACAAATCAAGTGTGCATTTCCAGATCCCTCTTGTCTAGCCTGTTAGGGTTTGGGCTCAGTTTCTTTTGAGTCCACAAGTCTGAGGTGTATCCATCATCACACCCCGCCTATTCACTATGCCACAGCCAATCAGAAGGGGAGGTGTCGTCCTCGGATGGCTGCTGAGTTCACATGTGGGTTGAAGCCAAGGGGCATAGGTGGGGCCCCGGCCTGGGAAGGGGAGCTCCAGGACTGGCCCGGAGGAGGGATGGGTGGGGGAGGGGTGGCATGGTTGTAGAGGTGGATGCTGGTGGGGTTGGGTTGCCCTTCCAAAGGCAAGGAGGGGCTGTGATTGTACTCAAAGCGGTGGTCTTTGTCGCCACTGAACACCATGCTGCTAACACCTCCACCTCTGCCTGAAGGGAAGGGCTCCTGGAGCGAGGTGGCCAGGGACCCGGCAGCCGAGGACGAGCCCGGGGCCTGAGTGCTGCTGCTGAACACCTCCCTCAGGTTGTGGGGGGGCAGGCCACCCCCCAGCATGTGGCCCATGTAGCAGTCTCCAAAACCTGCAGGAGGGAAGGGTGGAGGGGGTGGGCGGCTGTAGTCACCGCCATAGCCGGGTCCTTCTGTGCCGGGGTGGGGTTGGTAGTCTGGCTCCGGCAGCCTTCCTCCCTCGCCAGCTCCACCTGAGGTTGGCATAGGCGGCAGGTGGCCCGTCTTGGGCGCCATCTTCTGCCGGTAGTCCAAATCCTCGCAGCGGGGAGGAGGCTCGGGTGGTTCAGGGGGTCTCTGGTCGGGGGGGAGGATGGGTCTGGAGGAAACTCCGCTCCCCTTGGACACTAAGGGGGAAAACACAAGACATGATGTTAGTTCAAAGCAAAGAGATAGTTCTAGTCCTACTTTGCAAGTTCGTATTCTACCATAGGGATATCCAACATTACAATTGTGTACAGAATTTGAGACAGATAAGCCTACTGGATGGTCACAGCAGTGGAATACAAGTCTATACACAATTTCTGCTAGCAAAAATGAGGTTATAAATACATCACAATATTCTCTATACGAGTAGTTACCTGGCGAGACAGGGATTGGCTCTGGGGGCTGCTTGGGCTCAGAGGGTGGCGGAGGTCCTCCTGCTGGTGCGTTTGTGCCGTCTGCATCGCCAGCTTCCTGCCTCTGCTGGGCCTGGAGGAGCTGGGCCAGCAGCATGGTGACTGCCGTCTGGGTGGCTGCTGAGGCCTCCCCATCAGGCTTCCCCTGCGATGCCGACGAGGGAGGCGGCGATGGGGGCTTGGGCATGGGGGGCGTGCGGGGTACTCCACCCGACTGAGGGAGCTTGTGGGGCTTGAGTGAAGGGGGTGGCTCCGGGGGCCGGTCGGAGTCAGAGGGTTCTGGTGGCAGGACCTTGGAGAGCTGCTGGAGAGTCTCTGGGTTGACCTTGGCAATCTGGGCCGGGTTGACAGCGCTCTTGGACTGGCCGAGCAGGTTGAGGAGGACCGCCAGCTGTTCCTGGGTCAGCTGGGAGTTGGGAGCTTTTGGGTCTACGGGAGACAAAGAAAATATATATTTTAAGCAATTTACTCAAAAGTACCTCTTAATTCACTCCAAGTTGTTTTTAGTCGTTGCAATATAAGCCATTAAAGTGAGAGAGTGTAACTGATAAGGCATTAGGGAGGGGTGGCTTTGCGGTACTAGACTAAAGGCCCATTAACTCACCCAGTAGGGCTGAGGCAGCCACAGGCTGGGCTTTGAGCCCCCCAGGCGGAGGGAAGCCCTGGGGGGTGTTGCTACGACTGTCGTCTCCCAGCCCCAGCTCCTTACGGGGAGCCTTGGGGGCTGACAGCTCCTCTGGCATCTGCTTCTGCCTCCGCCGCTTCTTACTCCACAACTCGTGGCAGTCCTGCCACAGGGGGAGACTGGAGGAGCGAGATGGGAAGGAGGACAGGAGGCAAAATGGTAATAAGGAGATCAAAGGGTGGGTCATCATAAAAATTAGATTCTACAGTAATGAATCACAGACACAATGAAGTAATATGCCTTTGGCCAAACATACTCTGGTGGGGGCATCTTGGTTGGGTCCACATCTTTGAGGAACTCACTGCTTAGCGCCGCCTCGGCCGCGCAGCGCTTACTTGGGTCCAGCGCCAGCATGTGGTCAAACAGGTCCAGGGCAGAGGGTGGAATACTGACCAAAGAGAAAGACGAAGTGGTTATGTATTCTTTTCAAACACCAATGATGAGCACAATTACTGAATTCAAACAAGCAGATCAACTCACAAAGCAAACTCTTCTCGCAACCGCCGCCGGTACTGTTTCTTTGGTTTCATGGTGTTGAAGTAGGGCAGCTTGATGACGTCTGGCCACACAGCGGGGCAGGGGCTGCCACAGATACGACTGGAAGGGAGAACAGCCAAAGAAGGCATCAGTTTGGGCTAGAGTTCAATATCGTGCCCTAACAAGAAGACTGTCAAACGAGATAGCTGAAGGTCTTTGACAGTTAAAATGGATACTGAGGAGAAGATATTTACGGATTTATAGTACCCTTCTCCTCAGACTACAACGTACCTGATCAGCTCCAACTGGGCAAGCTCCTGATTGGCTTGGAAAATGGGCTTCTTTGTGAACAGCTCCCCCAGAATGCACCTGATTTAAGACAAAAACAGGGTGAATGCATGATCCTCTTTATAGAACCATGACCACCATCTGTCCTCAGTTCAAGAATCATGAATCTCAGCCAGTGAAACACCACACCTAATCAACTAAATGTAGGTGTGTCTCTTACCCGCAGCTCCACACATCAATGGCAGGTGTGTACCTCTCCTCCCCCAGTAAAAGCTCTGGGGGTCTGTACCACAGGGTGATCACCTTGTTGGTGTACGGTCGGCTACACGACAGGGACAGAAAAATGCATAAGTATCAATAATATCATCATCCACAACAAAACACACCTGAAACCAATATGCTTGATGAAGCAAAACAGTCATAGATAAAGTAATACATCTGAAAAGCCAATAACTATTGGCAGCAATTGACTGTAAACCATATCGGGACACTTACCTCTCCTCAGAGTTATAAAGTCGAGCCAGTCCAAAATCTGCCAGCTTTATTTGACCCCTGGCATAGAGAACAGAACACAGCATTAACGTGACATCCAACCCCATTCTGTCAGACACTGCTACTGATACCGCAGCGGATATAAATTGTTTTTCTTTCTTTGACTATCCTGTAGCCTGGTCCCAGATCTGCTTGTGCTTTGGCGTTATAATGACCATAGGAGTTGACAAGACAGCATTGACAGATCTGGGACCAACAGGCCAGCTATCCTGAGGAGCACGCACTTGTTGTTGAGCAAGATGTTGGAGCACTTGATGTCCCTGTGCAGGAAGTTCTTCTTGTGGCAGTAGTCGAGGCCCTCCAGCAGCTGCCTCATGAAGGACTTGATGTGGCTCTCGTTGAAGTGGACCAGGCCCGACTCCAGCAGCCCCATCAGGTCGTGGTCCATGTACTCAAACACCAGGTAGAACGCACCTGTAAAAGGAGGATGGATCCTTCAGAACGGAACAGAGGTTCTCAAAGTGGGGTACTGCATTGGGTCCGCAGCCAGATCTCAAAAAAATATATTTTTGTACATGTTTATTTTTTATTAATATTACTAACAACAGATTACACTAATTTTTGCCAAGAGATCCATGGGATAAGTTTAGGGTGTGTAATACAATTCAATGTGATATTATTAATCCACAATTTGTTTTCTTAACCCTGGGCAACATGGGCCTAGGAGGCTCACAGGGATATTTTAAATTTTTGTCAACCTATTATAAAATGTTAAACTCAATAGGCCATCTTGTATTCCCCCAAAATGTTTAAAAAAACAAAATGCATTGTAATTTAAGCTTTAAAACAGCTAAATGTTCCCTCTGCCTCACTGCAAAATGTGTAGAATTGCAGGAGATTCGCTTTAAAGATGCAACTACAAAACATCTCTTTCCCTTGATAAAATGTGTAGAATTGCAGGAAATTAGCTTGAACAACTGCAAAATTCTCTCTCCAATGCCAAGAGGCGTGTCTTTAAAATGTTCCTTCCCAGGGCCCGAGACTTGGTTCATTTGCCATTGCACTGCCGAAGTCATAAAACTCCTTGTATGCTATTTTTATCTCACTCAAGTTGTGTTCTGATTATGAGGTGGTCCCTGATGAATTTGCTATGACAAAAGGGGTCCCCGGCCCTAAAAAGTTTTAGAACCCCTGCCATAGGGCTCTGGTCAAAAGTAGTGGACTATGTAGGGAATGGAGTGCCATTTGGGATGCAAACATGATAATTCAGTGGGTTTGTCATTTGGACCTTTGTCGTTCTTGAAGTCCAGGGCGTCCTCCTTGTCAGTGACTATCTCCTTCATGTTGATGATGCTCTTGTGGTTGAGCTGGCGGAGGATCTTGATCTCCCTGATGGCGGTGATAGGGAAGCCCTCCTTCTCGTTGTCCAGACGCACCTTCTTTAAGGCCACCATCTCAGCTACACCATGGGGATAGAGATAAAGGACAGAGGATATTAGTAGATACTTTTTCATACATAATAGTTACCCTGGGCATAGAAATACTTACATTTGGAGTTAAGAGTGAGTTTGAGTTTGCCAAACAGATTTTTCTGTTTGATGGTTTAAAATAATAATTTGAATATGAACTATCAGGGAAATGGGCTACACCCTATGATCTTCATCGTAAGCATTTAGTAGTCCTCACCTGTATCTTTGTCTTTTGCCTTGTACACCTGGCCGTAGGTGCCTTCTCCTGTGATGCCGATGATCTCAAACTTGTCCACGCACCGTTTCCCCCAGTCGATCTCAGTCTCCTTAATCTCCCCAAAACGTGGGCCGCAGATCCTGGGAGAAAGACAAACAAACCAACAAGAGATTAGGTCAAGGGTGGTTCTCAACACCAGGCAGTAGAGATTATTGAGGAGCATAGGCCATTGAAGTGGTAGGGTGAGACATGGAAAGTCACGGGGCCCAGACATACTTGGGCCGGCGGCGAAGCGTGGTGGTCTTCTTCTCGTCGTATGGGCTGTGAGGGGAGGAGGCACCTGTGGGTAGCTCTGGAGGAAGGGGCAGGTCGCTCAGGAGGTGACGGGCCTTCTGACGCTCTGCTGGCTTCTTCCCTGAGAGCGATGGTAAGACGTCCTTCAAGCTGCACAGGGGAGTAAAATAAGATGAGAAGTTAGGCTATGGAAAGACAGGGGGAGGCATGTATGAGAGTGAAAAAATTAATGAGTTCTCTTATCATAAAAGCTCTTTATTATGTTCTGATTACCTGTCTACTCCAGCTAAGTGCTCGAGGATGTTCGGGGGCAGGTTTAGAGATGTCAGTGTAGAGGCAGTCGGGGCAGTTACTCGCTCCTTCTCTTTGCCCTGTCCAGATGCTGGTACTTTCCTCTTGTCTCGTTGCACTGAGGGGTCATCCTTCCCCTTCACATCTCTATCCCTGCTGGGCTTGGGGGGCGCTGTGCTCCTCTTGGAGGTCCTGTCTGCGGGGGACTGGGGCTGGCTCGACACGGGGGTCCTCGGGCCCTTCTTAGTGGCGTGGTTGGTCTTGGGGCTGGGTTGGTGGGAGCCTGCAGAGGGAACCTTGGTGGGAGTTGAGGCGTTACTGGAGCTCTTGGCCCGGGCGGCTGCCTCGGCAGCTTTGGCCTTCTTCTGCTTGCTGAGCTCGGCCGCCAGGCTGCTCTTGAAGGTCAGTGTGCTGGGGGAGAGGCTGGAGGGCCGGCTGCGGGAGCGAGAGTGGCGGTGGCGGCTGCGTGAGCGTGAGTGCCTTGAGGAGGAATACGGGCTCCTGCTTCGAGACTTGCCAGATCGCCTGGAGAAAGGAGAGACATGATGAATCTTTCATAGGGGAAAAGTTCCCATTAAAGAGCAACTGCCTTTAAAAAGCAACAAATCCCTTTGAAAACAAGTCAGAAACAGTTATTCTAGTGTCAAAATTGACTACAAAGTGTAAATAGGATCATTTTGGTCATAATGTCAGTCTCCTCAACAACAACAAAAAAGAGTTTGGAACATCTATGCACCTCCAAGAATGAAGTCTCATTTTTCTAATGAGCAACAGAAAAACAAGTGCCAATTGGCATGATCAGTGGCTCTTTAAAGGTGCATCTTGTCTAACAAGTGCTATTTTAGCAGACTACTGTAATGGAAAATAACACTTTCAGTGGCATTTAAGGCATCATTACAATCTGAATCACAATCTAGTAAAACAGTTGTACTAAATTAGTTTCACAAAGCTTTGCTCTCTTGGGTGATCCAGATTCTGCCATCAAAAGTACAATGTCTCTCAGTACTATTAAAGTTTTAAGTTCTCTAAAAAAATATATTATACATTCATCCCCAAGAGATTTAATAATGTGGAGGGTAACATATGGTAGACTATTAATCATTCACTTTCAGCCAGTCACATGAACCTATTCATTAATTTGTCAGACTTCAGCAGCCTGTACACCTGTGTGGGAGGGTGCTAGTCCAATGTGTAGCCTAATTTCAAAGGTTTAAAATGGCTGATTAAAAAATATTAACTTTTTAACCATTCCCATTTAATCCCTTCAAGCTTGTGTTGCATAACTTTAGCCAACTAATGTCACGTTTCCATTCTTTCACATGTGAAGTTTACTTATCACTTCATAAGCCATCGGTTGTGAGCATTCTGCTATCTTGCATTTTGAAAAGGAGTTGGTCTCCCTTTCAAACTAAGGCCTTGTGTGTGGTCATATTTCCATAATGAGGCAGTATACTCCTAATGTAAACAAAGTATTCCATTGGCATAATACAAAATATTGAACATGATCGCAAGAGCAGCTAGAGCACTGGTCCAAATCATACAGTGATAATTAGAGGATTGACACCTGGAATTATACCAGACTGGCATGTTATCTTTGACGTATACAGTCAAAAATACGGGTACAGTACCCTCTGATCAATTGCTTACCTTACGTCTGGACTTGGGCTCAGTGACTTTCGGTATGGACTTCGTGATCGCCGACGGGTACCGTAGGGACTTGAAGCAAGTTCTCCCTGTTCGAATGGACTATGTCGGCCATAACTTGGAGACCTGCGCCAGTTGAATGGGCTCGTTGGAGACCGCTTTCTTTTGTTGCTTGAGTATGAACTGGGCGACTTTGAAATGTTGTAGGCACCATAGACCTCAGAATCTCGGCTAAAGTATGTCGAACTTGGGGACAGCCTTTTGTTCCCATAACTGGGACTTCTTCTAGATATAAACTGGTTATTATAACTACCACTAGGAGAATGGTATCCATAGGAATAAGATTTCCCATGTGGGCTGTCTGCCTTGAAACCAGGACTTCTTCTGTAGGCCCTGAGTTCTTCACGGTCATCTCGGTATGATTGTGGTGCATCCCTGTATGCAGACGGGGGCTCTTTTTCAGAACGTGTCTTACTTTTGTGCCGTTTAGACTCCCTTTTATCCAAAGTCATGGGGGCCAAGGTTGTAGACGTCTTCTTGCCGTTACTGTCACTGCTTCTCGCACCGTCTCGGTTGTTTTTGGTGGCGCTCTGGCTACTTCCACGAGATTTCGAAGTGTCCCTCTCACGGCTCTGGCGTTCCTTTCTTTTCGGGTCCTTCTCTTGTCTATTCCTCTCGGATGAACCACTGATTTGTTCATCCTTCCTGAGATGCAATATAGCCCTGTCTCTTCGAGACCTTCTCTCTGGGGATGTCGGTCCGTTCATGTCTGTAAACTCAACTTCGCTAAGTCGGTCGACCAAAATAGTAGCATGCGGTTCTGGTTTCGGCGAAGGGCTCCCAGAAAACCGTTCTGATTGGGAACTCACGTCGTCATATTCCACTAAAGTCCGAAGTTCACCTTCTCTTTCAAGAGTGCCTCTCCGTTCACTGTCTGGTTCATCTGGCGTATGCCATGATCCTTTCTCCCTAGCGTGACTGTGTTTCTTTCGGATAGATGAGGACGTCCGCCTCTTCTCCCGGTGTTTCTCTCGGTGCGGAGTAGCACCACTTCCAGGTTTAACGTTACTGCGCCGCTCCTGTCTGGCACTACTATGTGCCGATGGGCTTCTTCCCCGACCCTCGCGAAACACCTCCGAGTTAGGCATTTATCAAAAAGATGTGATATATACTTTTGGTAATATTGGTTGTCTTTAGTGTTGTGTTCCTTGCCACACAAAACATTTGCTACAAATTAGCTAGCTAGCACTAGCAAGCTAAAGCTAACTAGCAGTAAACTATTCCAAACGATAATCCATCGGATTCATCACACAAGTCCATCCAATGTTTCCCTCGATGAGATTAATTTATCTAATAATACGAGAAAAATAAATCAAAATTATAATCCTGGTCTGCAATTCCAAAGATTTGCTAGCTAGCAAGCCAGAGCTTACTAGCTAGCAACTGTAGCTAGCTAGGCAGTGTCTCGTAATTGCATTCCATTCCATGCTGAGTGTGGCAGGCCCAATGTCTCCTGCTCGAAAGGAAATGTTTCTTGAAGAATATCGCAGCTCACATCGGCTTTAAAAATATATTCCCAAAGTGCTGAAAATAAGAACAAAATATTCGCTTTTTTAGGCAAACTTCTTTACGCTTGCCATCACACTCCAGTTTGTACGAACAAGGAAGTAGCTAACTAGCACGCAAACCATAGCTTTCAAACTGAAGGCCTACTTTTCCGCTGTTACGTCCAATGATGTGCAGATCAGTGTTTACGTCACTACCAAAGGGAAACTCCTGACACATTTAAGTTCCTCAACATTGGGAATGAAAAGTCAATTAATCTAAAATATTTAATTCATTTTTCATTCCAAATATCATATTGCGTTACTTTGTATTACCTATAGCCAGGCCATAACAAGTTACAACCCCTAGGATGCACCAAGTGGTCGTCACAGGGCGAGAGCCAATAACACTCAATGTGTATTTTGGGGGGAGAAATATAGCATACATGTCATATGGGACAAACAGCATATCAAACTATACTGAACACAAATATAAACGCAAAATGCAACAAATTCAAAGATTTTGATGAGTTACAGTTCTTAAGGAAATCATTCAATTGAAATAAAATAATTAGGCCCAAATCTATGGATTACACATGAATGGGCAGGGGTGCAGCCATGGGTGGGCCTGGGAGGGCATAGGCTCACCCACTTGGGAGCCAGGCCCACCCACTGGGGAGCTAGGCCCAGCCAATCAGAATGAGTTTGGAAAATTTCTGGGATCTTTTATTTCAGCTCAAAAAACATGGGACCAGCACTTTACGTGTTGTGTTTATATTTTTGTTCAGTATAGGTATATTAATAACTCATCCATTGATGCTTGAATTCCAATTTGAGTTTCAGGGGGCTAGGTGCAGGGAGGACTAGATAGGCTATGATTATTCCTAACTGGTCAAGATTATCCCACTAAACACTGCATGAGTTGACTTCAGCCTAAATTAATGTTGGAAAGAGAACATATCCAATTAATGTGTCATTTTAGTTTGCGATGTCTACTGTGAATATTACATTTATATAAAATATTAAATTGTCAATTTACAGCTGTGTTTCACTGACTGTTCTGTTTTTGCAATGTAAATCAAATCTCAGAATTAAAAAAATAGGTGGATTTGTTTTTTTTAAAAAATATCACTTTATTTGTCCATCCAATAGCTCACAAAACATTAAACTGAAAAGGTACACGGCATTTCAATTATTGTACCCAGTAACAGTAAGATAAATTAGTGTTTCTGTTAAGGATGTAAGGAGTAAACAGACAACATAATACCTACACAATACAGGTATAACCAACACATCTATATTGAGATTGATCTTCAGTTTGATCAAACAAATCATAGAGATAAATAATATTACAAATTGAAAGTAAAGGATATTAAAACATGTAAGAGGCAATACATGTGTACAGTAAAAAAATAAATAAAAAAATACTCACATTACAGCAAACTGTTTCTTTTAGAGAAAATTCACCTGCATTCACATTACTGCAACAAATTGAATAGAGTCCTACCTAGTCTCTAAGATTACATATGGAATTGTTTTAAGAAGGTCATACCATGGATAATTTAGCTATTTAATTTGGATAAAAAAAAAAAAAAAAGATAAAATATTGAATTTGGCCTTTACTACTATAGCCCATACGTGTTGAATAACACATTCATAAATGGCAAAATAGACAGTCCTAAAATAAATCATAAGGAATAAGGTTTTGAAGTGTCTGTCTATCAAGGGGATATAAGAAAGCTCAGGAAATGTATTTTTTTAAACACATATTTAACCCCTTATTTTAGTAGGCACAAAACTACCTCCATACTTCCATTCATTTGTATGGGTTACCTTTAGACTGGTCCAGTGACACTTGTGGGGGTCATAGAGCAAAACACGGAGAACACCATCATGTTCGTGAGTCTCCCCTTTCTGCAGTGGGGTCATATTAGTTTGTAGGCCAAACTGTTCAGATGCTACAGATGTTTGTGAGAAGACCGATTTTCAGGATGTCTCCTGGTCTGACAAACAGCGCTGTAGCTCCGCCACTTTCTACCGCAGATGTGGAAGGGCGACATAGGCGGATTGAGACGTAGCCCATGCTAGATATCTCTAGCTTAAACTGACAGATTTTGATGGGGATTTTTTTTATTACGTTACTTAGATTAAACACACCGGTGCATCAATAGACTCAGGGTTTTTAACCTCAAGTTATTTAAGACTGAAAAAGGTCAAACTATCATGGGGTGAGTTTCCCAAAAACAAAGTAACTCTCCAGCATTTCCAGATTGCTATTAAAGTAACAGTCCAGTGTTTCCAGATAATTAATTACAATATCTGTGAAGTTTTCCTTCCAAAAAAAAATGGTAAATAAGTATGTTAAAAAACGGCTTTTCTGTGTTGGAATGGTGTGGGTGTATACCGGCAACTAAAAATATTCATGAGAGTAGACATCTGATTGGCCAGCTCATCATCCTTTCTGCGGAAATAGCAAGGATTTTTTAAAACTGTCTGAGATACAAGTTTGTGGGGATTCTGAAGTATTTTTTCTCCAATTTATGCTTTGGCCACAAATATGAGTATAGGATGAGTCACGACATATGGGTTTGAGTTAACAGAATATTGAACTTTTAAAACATTCACTGGACAGTTACTTTAAGGCTGTGTTTACACAGGCAGCCCAATTCTGATCTTTTCCACTAATTTGACCAATCAGATTAAGCTCTTTTGCCATAATTGGGCAAAATATCAGAATTAGACTGCCTGTCTAAGGCTGTCTACACTTGACACTTACATGCGACTTCTGCTATCAGAATATGAAGATCGCAGTTCTAGACGCACAAAAGTCGCATTGTGGTCGGATTGTGTTCAGATCTGGCTGACCACATCAGGTGATGGTCTGGGACACATCATCAGCACTCCACCCACAAATTTCCAGAAGACTGTTTTGGGAGTGAGAAGCACCTTTTTTCATTAAATGTTGGAGGAAATACATTCATAGCGTGTGAGAAACGTGTTTGCTGGCTTTATAAATGCTAGCCAACTAGCTTATTTAGAAAAACAATGTTTTGTTTGGCTAGAGTTATGCTAACCTGTATGCAATCCCTTTAGCTTAGCTGACTAGTTGGCTACTGCCATCAAGTTGTTGTGTCAGATTTATATGCATAATGCATACTGGCATTTGAATATAGCATGGGAAAAGGGAATCCGGACACAATGTGGACACATTTAAATGTAGGTGTAGACGCATGACGTGTTCTTAATTCCATGATCAGAACTCCATGATCAGAATACAAAAGCTGCATGAACTGTCAAGTCTAGACACGGCGGGTAGGGGTTAAAGCGTTGAAGTAGTCTGAAATGTAATGTCTGAAATGTAATGTATATGATGAATTCCAAGAACAAGGAGTTCAGTCAGAAGGAAAATATCCTTTGAGGCTCAAAGAAAATAAAAAGGTGCTCAGTGCACACTCGGTCCTCGGGACCCCAAGGGGTGCACGTTTTGGTTTTTGCCCTAGCACTACACAGCTGATTCAAATAATCAACTAATCATCACCTTTAATCAGCTGTGTAGTGTTAGGGCAAAAACCAAAACGTGCACCCCTTGGGGTCCCGAGGACTGAATTTGGGAAACGCTGGTCTACTTGTTCACATTCACAATGGACAGCAAGGCATTAATGTTAATGACTGAGCGTGATGACTAGAGAGGAAGAGGCGAAGTTAGAGGGTCCACTCCCGTCAATTTCTCCAAGCGGGAATACAGTGATAAGCAGTCTGCCTGCCTTCCCGTTTTTGGGACAACGGCTCCCATTGTTAGGGCGCAGACAAGACCATCTCGTCATTATGTACAGTATCTCTGCTACAGCCCTCATAACATCACTTTGCCAACCAGGGAAGGTAGAGGAGAACAAATAGAATCAAACGCTCGCTGTGGTAAACATTAACTTCTGGCAGTTTCTGATGCCAGTGCGGCATGTTGAATACATTTTCTTCCTATGAATTTGGCTCTAACATTCAAACAGTTTTGGCTATAAGCTATTATTATTCCCCTCTATGATGATCACAAGCCGCATTAGAAGGGAGTGTCACAAAAAACACAATTTGGCCCCCATAAGAATATAGTTGAATAGCCATGTCATAGGGAGTGGAAAGGCTACCATGTCATACATTGGGAGTGTCAAAGGGAGTGGAAAGGCTATCCTTAGGGCTATGGAGTGGAAAGGCTATCCTTAGAAGGGCTCTGATAGCCCTTCTAAGGATAGCCTTCCCACTCCATATTTAATCTTGCTCTTGTGACTGATTGGGTTCGAACCAGGTCTCCTGCATGTCACAAGACTGTGTTAGCCCACTTAGCTAAAGCCTATAGGGATAAGTTCATGAAAAGGACAACACTGCTTACTTCATAAGTACCGCTTCCCCCTGATTCAGCGCATTCCAAGATTCAAACTCAGGACCTCTGCCTCGTAAACACACTTGACCGCGGTCCTGAAGCATTCCAACCCATCGTGCTATTAAAAAAAGGCTTTCAATTGCGCAATGGGCAACACTTCAGGCTGAGGAGTGAGTTTCACAGATCCCCATCTGCTACACTAATACAAGTCTTCAAGAACCAGCAAGGTTACTCATCCAAAGAGCATGGTTTAGTGATCCATGCTTATGTGATGAAAA